AATTACACCTCCAAATGAGGCGCTTCGGCACTTGCGAGAAGGCGTGAGCCAGGTGAGAGGGAGGGGGGGGGGGTCAGCTTCACTCTTGGCCTGCCTGGCCTGAGTGGGCTTCTTGCCCCGTCGCGGCACAGTAGTGACGCGTCCATGTGCAGCGAAGGCCAACAACGCTTCAACCTGCCATGTCAAAACCGACCGAACAGACTTCAGAGCAATCCGCATGGCCTTGACATGCCGTCGGGGAACCGAGTGCAAATCCCGCCCCCTGGTCGCCCCAAAGTTGGCCCATCGGTTCCCCCGCGCCAAGACGTCCATGCCTCGCTGGTGCCCTCGCACGTGTCGAACTTCTAAACTATCCGAGAGGCCTCCTAGATCGTCGATCTTGGTCCAAATTAGGTCCCAAAGATCAACATTGGGCCTAGAAGGATGTCTACACCAATGAGGTCCCCAGGTGAGGCCTTCGATCAGGCCCTTATAATCTGAGTATACTAATATAGGCAAGACGGCTATCTGCAAAACCTGCAAGAAGGCATGTAGCTCAGACCGCGGTGAGGACTGCACAGGCCCAGGGAGAGCACCATATACTAGAAGATCAAGCTTATCATCCACCAGCTTAGCGAACCCCCATCCCGCACGAGACGCTTCGGGCCAGTACCAGAACTTATTACATGCTCCATCAGTAAATATGACGCCACTAGCCATATCTGCTGTACCGTATTTGACAATCCACCTGCCCGAGTTATCCTTCGGCGGCACTGGTGGAAAACAACTGCGGGGGCATAATCCTCGATCCCAGAACCAGGACCCAACATCTTTGGGAGGAAGCCCTCTGTCGTCTAACTCCGAGAGGTGACGTATCCTTTCACCGCTACTGCCAGTACAGCCCCACAAGGTATGATGGGTAGTGCAAGCCGTGGACGGGCACGCCATACAGTCAGCGCGATCAACATATCCACAAGCTTGAAGCCGAGACGGGGACCACATGCCGCCACCTACGAAGGCGCGTAGCATCGCCGCCTCGTTAAACGAAGGGGCCCAGGGAGTCCTGCTAGTATCCTGTGGCTCGTCGCCGTCGGAATCAGCACCTTCGCCCTCGGAGGATTCGTCAAATTCGCCCCCCTTGTATCTCTTCAACAGGTCAACGACGGGTTCAATCCAGTACCCGAGGGGCTGCTTGGGGGCCATGCCAACGTCATCAGCAGGGTTCTCTCGAGCTGCCCAGGACTCCCAAAGCCTTCTGAGCGCAGCAGCCTGACCTAATTCCCGAACCGTGGACGGCGCAGAAGTCCTGAGGTCCAAGATGCCCCCGATGTCGGTCTTCCAGACAATTGCTGAGCTGGAGGTCCATTTCAAGGCCTTTAAGGATAAAAGCATAGCCCCAGCAGGACCCGAAACATGTGTCCAGGGATGGGTGGCCCAGTAAACCTTCTGGATCTGCGCCTTCCAGGCCCTCTGGAGCTCCTCACAAGTCACCACAACGTCCCGACAAAGCATAGCCCACTGTACAAGAGGGGCCGTCCAAGCCTGGACCTGTGGGTCGGACAGCACTGTGCCCTGAAGGCAACTCGTCAGCCAGGCCGAAGTGGTCGACCCAGGTGTATACCAGCACGAGCGAAACACAGAGCGCATATTGGCCACCAACTGTGGTGGCGCCCCATGTACTCCTAATCCATATCCCATAGCACTGGGTAATGCCTGTCGGACAAACTTGCAGACGATGGGCCCCGCTTTCCGAACTTTCGAAAGCCGAGGAACTCGTTTCGAGGCAACCGAGACACGTTCACGAAGCCGACGGTACTTAAGGGGCCTCCCTGAGGCCACCTCGATCCCAAGAACCTCCAAGGCACTCCGGTAGGCATAACCAAATTTGTGCAGCCGTGCCGCCACCCGTCGAGCCACTTCAGGTATGCTGGACGCAATGCCCATCTTGTTCCTGGCTGGTGGTAAGCCCAACTGCGCGAGCAGGCGAGCCAGTATGCGTAAGACTCTGCTAGCCGATGAGACTATGCTGCGCAATGAACATATAATAGATACCGTGATGTCGTCAGCGTACACATGCAACGAGCGCGAGATATGCGATGTGTGTGCATATAACGAGTCGAACGGCGTGAGCATGACGCACTGCAAGCAAAACATGGCGAAGGCACATCCTGGTAGCACTCCCTGTCTTGCATGAACCTGCGTCGAAAAAACAACCATCCCAGGAAAGCCTCCTGACACTCATATACATCCTGACGGCCAAAACCATGAGTTGTCCAGGAAAACCATGCGCTCGTCCCGCTGCAATCAGGAGTGCCCAGGAAATTCTGTCAAAGCATTTCTCGATGTCCACAATGCTGTGAACACTTACTCGAGTGTCACCAGCGAGCGAGCCTCCAGCCTCGCTCTGAACCAGGATGCGTGCGGCCACATCTGTAGTCGACTTCTGAGCTCCAAGGGCTATCCAGGGTCGATTTAATTGACGGGCCCACTTTCTAACAAAACCCACCCGCGCTTTTGCCCATGCCCGATATATGGAGGTAAGTAGGGCCATGGGGCGATACCCCCCTGACGGTTTGGACAATAAAACGATGTGCACCCTCGATGACAGCTGTGGCCACAAGCCCCATGTCTCGCAAAGGAAAAGCATGTATCCAAGCACGGAAAGGGCGACGTTTGACGCCAGAGCCCAGTGTCTGGGCCTCCACAAATCTGGTCCAACTGCCGTGCGTCGCGGAAATCGCAGAGCTGCCTGTCGCAATTCTGCTATAGTAAGAGGGGGAAGGCGAGGACCTGCTTCCAGTAAGCCTTTGAGCTCCCCAAGAAATTCGCCAGGTTCCTCTTGAAACTTGCTCCTGCGTGTGCAACTGGCTCAGGGTCCCCGTCCCATATGGTTTCCCAGGAGTCCCGTTGCGCTTCAGCAATGTCCCCCGTAAAACTCGAGAGGCCCTTGGAGGTCCTGGCCTGCGCAACCTTCCAGCCTTTTGGTTTGGTCCACTTGTGAACGGGCCCAGGGGTACTCGTGAGATGACGCCTCATCCAGCTCACAAACGACTTGGAGCGCGCTTGGGCAAGCCGACGCTCTTCAGCTTCGTCCAGGCGAGCAAGGAAACTGCAGACAAAGTCGAGCATGAGCCCGTGGTACTGCACAGGCTGCGCACATGCTTGCTCGATAATGAATATAATGTCTGCTAGCACATGATGTGGCATGCGTCAACGTATACGCCCATCACGACCACGACCACGCACGAAATCATATAAGTGCTGCCACGCTGGAACGCGACGTTCGTATATGTCACGCTGTGCTATGAGTACGTCCGATACTTTCAGATGTAACAATCGAAGTGCACGTGAATATGCTGCGCCTGCTGGTTGGTAGCGAGCAAGCGCGCCTCCCGCCGTGACATAGCGATATTCGAGGCCACTAGACCTCCCTACAAAACGTCTCGGTTCTTCAACTTGAAAGAGTGCCAAAAATTCCTTCTCAACCCCATTGAAGATCCGTTGACAAAGCAAGCCAACCCGTTCCTGATGATTTGAGGGGCCCCCGAAACCATCATGAGCATCCTGTCTCATAAGATCCGTCCAGGAGTGCCCTGGGTCCCCACGGTCCACGTCGAAGATGAGTTCGCCGTCCTCATCCTCATCTTGGTGCTCGACAGGTTTCGCATGGGGCCCCAATGGCAGAATAGCTGGCCCTTTGATAGAGTAGACCTGCTGCGCACGTGGCCGAGGGCCAACCTCAGCCTGCAAAGGGAAATGATTGCGGGCAGGAAAACCTCCAGTGACACGAACCTTAGTCATTACGGCAGCCAAACCCTCAGAGACAAGGAAGTAGTCTAAGTTGGTCAAGTTGCCCGTCTTGGGGTCGCGATACGTGCCCTCATCGCTGCCTATGAAACTGCCAACAAGCCGTTCGTGATATCGCGCATCAGAAGCTTGACTAAGAGGCATGTTCCAGTCACCACCAACGATGTAGGGCGCACCATAGTACCTCAGACACTGCCCCAATCTTTTTAAATGCCGAGCGTTGTCACCACCAAATTTCTGCCCTTGCACAAGATATATGGATGCCGCAATGAATCCGTGCCTTGGTCCTGCGTGCACCCATATGGCCACCGCTCGCGATGGAATAAGAACGTGATCGTCCAAAAAGGCGTCGAGGAGTGTAGCGCCAACATGCGACCGAACAAAGATACCCACCCCAGCCGAGAACTTACCTCCCGTCACTGATCGAGCATCCGTCACAAAAAGGCCGCCACCCTCGTTTGATACTCCATTCCTCCGCTTGCAATCTCGCGTTCCCAGCCAAGTGGTGCTCCTGAACGAACACCAGTGAACGTGAACGACATTGGTCGAGATAATCCTGGAGTTGAGGCCATCCACTACCGTTGAACGTGGCCACGGTGAAGGGCTTACGCTTGCCATGCTTGCATGCCCGCCGCCCTCGTCTGCCACTGTTGGTGTCTTGCACTTCGGGCGACGACTGACCCTGCCGCTGCTGTGGTCGCACAGGGTTGATGTCAGCCCTCACCTTCAAAACTTGCGACGACTGAATCTGCCGTACCCTTGGGGGCACGGTATTTGTTGCCGCTGCAGCCCTCGATGTACGTGGTAGCCTCTCGCCACCCACATCACCTTGGACAGAAGAAAAGTGTGAGGAAGAGGAGGATGCAGCAGCCACTCTCGATGATGTGTGATCATCCCGTCGAGCAGCGCCGCGAGTAACTGCCGTGAGCTCCACTAGGTTCAAGTCATCTAAGGAACGAACTCGACCCTGAAACTGTCTCGGCATATCGATGTGTGATAGTAAGTCACGTCCCTGGTGTAGCTGGGGCGGCTCCGATGGAAGGGTCCTCCCATTGCATACCACCAGCATGAGTGCCAACTTGATCTTGTCCAGGAACTTGTGCGGGCACCTGCGGCTGCAGAGGAGGTGACGCTTGTTGCGACTGCATTTGCTGCCATGCCCCCTGCAGCTGGTTGAAGTGTGTGACGAGGGGCTCCAGAGCCGCCTGAGGGCTCTATGCTGCAAGCGCCGATGGAGCACCCAGAAACACCTGCTGCAACCTGTCCATTGCGTCCGACACTGTCGTCCCGTCTGGAGCTGGCCGAGCTGTGCCCATGACTGCTGCACGTGCCGTGGCCACCTCCAACTTGATACTGTCGAGCTCCTCACTGGCGACACGGTGCTCTTCGACCTTGGCGCCGTATTGCTCCTTGAGTGTGTCCATGCTTTCTTTGAGCTGCTCAACTTCACGTCCTTTGGCGCTTTGACGGTCCAAAGCGCTGCGCAACATATCATCTGGTGTGCGCCGTGCCCGCTCAGCTGCCTCCGCTGTAGTGAGGGCAACACGGGCGCGCACGACCAGATCATGTTCATCTGGTAGGCCACAGCGACGCAAGGAGGCCAATGCCTTACGTGCTTGCCCAACTTCATCTGAATCCTTGGCGTCGCCTTCTGCAACCTTGCGTCGCCTCGGTGTGGAAGGTGCTCTCTCTCGTGAACCTCGTTCTGGCGGCCCGTTCGGGTCGGGCAGCCCATTCTGATCTCGTCCACACATGTAGCACCTCTTATTATATGCAGAATTGCGAGTGAAACCGCACTGCCTAGTAGCCTTACAGCTCCAACGTGGTTCCTTCGCATTGTCACGATCTGCAGACTTGGGCAGCTTCCCCATGAACTGAGCAGACCCGTGATGTGATGAGAGCAGCCTCTTCGCCGTGTCAAGCCTCACAACCCCTCTTGCCCAACTTCGCTTACGCCGAAGCCGACGGTGCCAGGACGGGGATGAGGCCCTCTTGGGCGACGTGCCGCAATCCTCCGTGGCGCACAAGCCTCGAGGATGTAGCCCACTCGGTAGTGCCGATCACCAGCCTATGGCGCGATGGCTCTGGTGAGTCTGAAGTTCGCTCCCGCCCGAGGCCGCGGGCAGGGGAGCTGGGCGCGGGCGGCAAAAACGCACTGGGGGGAAAGGCCTCCCCCAGCTCAAGCCCACGCCTCCAAAGATCAGGAGGAGGAGGAGGAGGAGGAGGAGGAGGAGGAGGCGGAAGAGGAGGAGGAGGAGGAGGAGGAGGAGGAGGAGGAGGGGGAGAGGGAGGGGGAGGAGGGGGGGAGGGGAGGAGGAGGAGGTGGAGGAGGGGGCGGAGGAGGAGGAGGAGGAGGAGGAGGAGGAGGAGGAGGAGGAGGAGGAGGAGGAAACTCTGTGCCCAGAGAGCAGCTACGGGAGAAAGAGGGGCGATCGACATCACCGATTCCCAGACCCGAGGGCCCGTGCCGCCGCAGCCCTCCCCCGGGACTCGCGCGTGGGCACGCCTGAAGATGTCCGCGCCGACGAGCATGATGCTCTCCGTGGCAACCTCCTGCACCTGCGGGAGCTCGACGCTTCCCTCCTAAGCCTGCCCCATCCTGTCTCCCCCCGAGAATGTTCCCCTCATCCCCGCCCAATGCTCCCCTCTCCACTGCCCTTCCCCCGCTCCACTAGGGGAACGAACAATGACATAAACATAACAACTCGGAGGTCTGCGCGGATTTCTCGGATCGGCGCTGGACCCCCCGGGCGGCGCCTCCGGCGCCGCCCCTGGCGCGCTCCGCGCGCAAGGGAGGGGGGTCCAGCGCCGATCCGAGAAATCCGCGCGGGCCTCCGAGTTTTTATGTTTATGTCATTGTTCGTTCCCCTAGTGAAGCGGGGGAAGGGCAGTGGAGAGGGGAGCATTGGGCGGGGATGAGGGTAACACTCCCGGGGGGAGACGGGGTGGGGCAGGCTCAGGAGGGAAGCGCCGAGCTGGAATCGGCGATACGTTGCGGATAGATCGGGGGCAGGCCCCCGAGAGCGAATCCGACCGCTCCTGGGCGGGGCGGGCTGTTGGGTCCCCATCGGTGGTGCATGGGGGGTCGATGCGTGTCTCCCCTGAGCTTAAGTCGGGCCTGTCCCCCTACAGGCGGATTTTCGACGAAAAATAAAAAACTCAAAAATACTCAAAACATGATCAAGCATTGGTAAAACAAAAATGTCCCCAGACTATGTTTTGACTATTTTTGAATACTCCTCCTGTAGAGGGACACGCCCGACTTAAACCTGAGCCTATCCCTCCTGACGTCGCTCCCGAATGGAGAGGGGAGGGTTGGGCGCTTGAGCTGGGAGGAGGCGGCGTCGCAGAGGAAGGGGCTCCATCCATCCCGAGCCACGGGCGTTCTCCCCAACCTCTCCGTCCTTCTCCTCCTCCCCCTCCAGGGGGGTGGGGAAGAGGTAAATGGTAATGCAGCGCGGCGCCTCCTGCATTCCTCCTCATCTCCTTCGCTCTGTCCCTTCCCCCCCTCCCACCTCAAGGCATCCGACGTCGCGATCTGTTCAAAACGTGTCTGCCCGGAGGACTGGAATCATTCCCGGGGACCGCCGTTTCTCCCGAGCAGGAGAGCCCAGAACCGAATCGATAAGTCGGATCGGCGATCAAAATTCATCGGATCGGCGGAAATCGGCAGCCGAGTCGGGAGAAGTCGAATCAGCAGAAATCGGAAGGCTAGTAGACCTCCATGGAGACATCGAAATCCAAATCTGAATCCGAAATCGAATCGAATCGGAATCGGAACCCATCGACATCGAATCGGATCGAATCGGGGAAATCGAAATTTACCATGTTCGAGTCGGCTTTTGACGGTCCCAGGGCTAAGTAAAAGAGGGCCTCCCAGAGGCTGAAGATTGTCAGAATCCTTCGTTGTGATCTTCTTGCAGGACATAGACCCGTGCGGGAAACGAGGCTCGCCCTAAACGGTGGTTTCCGTTGTCGTGTTGCTGTCGTTTTCACTGCTTTTGTTCTCGTTCTGCCTTTGCTTCACGAAATCAAAACGACAATGGTCCACGAACTCGCCAAGACACCGTTTAGCTCGAGCCCCGGTGCGGGAAAAGTGGGCACGGCGCCCACCGGCAGTCCAGAACCGACGGTGGCCGCTGCCTGGACGGCGGCCTCTGGCTCAGAGGGTCAAGCTCCGCGGCGGCGCCGGCAGCGAATTCACGGCAAAGCAAACAGAGATGGGTGCCCAACCCACCGAGGTCGCGATGTGTTCGCAACGTGGGCCCCCATACTTGCCATCGCTCGGACGTCCATTCCCCGTGCATGTGCTCCACGATCCAGGGTGCTCCTCGATGGCCCTCGCCGAGGAGGCGTGCACACGTACGAGCGACGCCGAGCACTGGTCTTGACCCATTTTCCCCGGGGACCGGCTGTTCTTCCCAGGTCGTTCTTTGACGGCCTGGAGCCTGGCAAGGGTGCCAAAAACAGCCCCAAACCTCCCGTCGCAGCTTTTAAACGGAGCGAGCATTGAAGGGGTCCAGGGGCACACACACACACATACATACACACAAACCCTTGGAGATCCCGTATTTTCCGTAATATCCGGAGCGTGGACACCCCTCCCCCTGGGGATCGACGCTTCATCGTGTCTGTGTGTATGTGTGTGTGCTCCCTCTGGAGAAAGCAACCCAAGCCCTCCCGCCGCAGTTCTGTAACGGCGCGAGCATGTCTGGGAGGACTGCTGTCGGTCTCCGCACCCATCGCTTTCGTAACCCCTCTCAACTTCCCCGACTCTGAGGGGCAACGATAGGGGGGTACTTGCATAGAGAAGGAGCATCGACCTGGAGTCGGCGATACATCGCCCGTGGATCGGAGATATGCCCCCCGATAGCGAATCCGCCCCCCCCCCGGGCGGGTGGAGCCATCAGACCCCATCGGCGATCAATGGGCGATTGAGGGTCGATGCATCCCCCCAATGCTTAGGTCAGGCATGTCCTCCTGCAGGCGGAAGTTGGAGGAAACATGAGGAACATTCGACACATATTCAACACACATCAAAAGTCATCGAAAGATAGTCCCCAGACTTCTTTTGTTTTGGGACTATGTTTGATTATTCCTCCTGTAGAGGGACATGCCCGACTTAACGATAGTCCCCCGATAGCGAATCCGCCCCCTTCTGGCCACGGTGGGGCCAGGGCGATTGAGGGCGCATGCATCCCCCTAATGCTCAGGTCGGGCATGTCCTCCTACTGGCGGATCTTGGAGGCTAAATTTGCAATAGCCAGACAATATGCAGCAATAACCAAAAAGTAAAAGAAACATCGTCCCAAAACTATGTTTAAAACTATTTTCGAATACTTATCCTGTAGAAGGACATGCCCTACTTAACCCCATGCCTATCCCCCGACTTCACTCTATGCCTATCCCACCCTCCGATAGCGAATCTGGCCCATCCTGGGCGGGGTGGGGCCATCAGACCCCATCGGCGATCAATGGGCGATGGAGGGTCGATGCATCCCTCATTATGCATAGGTCGGGCATGTCCTCCTACAGACAAATACTGAAGGAACAATAGGAAATAGTCAAAACATGTCCAACGACATTCGTAAATAATTGGAGGAGCGTCCGCAGACTTTTTGACCATTTTTGAATACTCCTCCTGTAGAGGGACATGCCCGACTTAACGATAGGCCCCCGATAGCGAATCCGCCCCCTCCTTGGCGGAGTGGGTACATCAGACCCCCATCGGTGATCAATGGGCGATGGAGGGCGCATGCATCCCTCCCCAATGCTGAGGTCGGGCATGTCATCCTACAGGCGGATTTTGGAGGAACGGTAGGAACTAGTCCAAACATGTTCAACACCATCCAACAGTAATCGAACGATCGTCCCCCGACTCTTTTTTGTGTGTGTGACTACTATTGAATGTTCCTCGTTGCTTCAGTGTTGCTTCTCGTGTCGTCCTCCTTATTTTCCTCCTCATCTCCATCCTCCTCCTCCTCCTCCTCCTCCTCATCCACCCATCCCTTCCATTGACCCGCCAAATGGCTGCTGCCGCTGCCGCAATCATCGTCCGTCGCCGCTTCGCTCGTTCGCCTGCCGTTCTGGCTCTCCTCGTCACCGTTCGTCGTCGCCGTCGTGTCGGTGGCTCCCGCTGTCGCCTCCGAGACCGTCGCTCCCCACTGGCGAGTTATTGAGGAGCCATAGGAAATAGTCAAGCCATGCTCAACAACATTCACATGTGCTCGAAAGATTGTACCCTGACTCTTTTTCAGGTGTAACTAGTTTTGAAGATTCCTCCTGTAATCCAGGAATGTGGCCTGCGCCGTGGCGTGGGCCCTGAAGACCCCCTCGTGGGCCCTGAAGGGCCCCTTTAGGGGCCCTGCAAGGCCCTGAAGGGCCCTTTTTCTGCGAGCATCCTGGAGAATCTTGCGAAACAACATGCAGAACCGAACCATGCCCAGGGAGTGGACGTGCGAGCGATGGCAAGAACGACGTGGAAGGGCCCGAATCCAGAAATGTGGCTTGTGCCGAGGCGGGGGCGGCATTAGAAACCGCGGGAGCAAAGCGCCGATCGTGAGCTGTGGCCAAATCTGGAACTGAAGGGCCGAAACCGCTTGGAACGAAGGAACGCCACAACTTTGAGAAAGCCTCTTTGCGCGTGGAAGGGCAAAACTCGCCGGGGATGCGGCGGCGCCACCGTGCAGTATCGGGGGAGCGAGGGGAGTTCTATTCATGCTGTGTAGTTTCGCCTTGTGGAGCAGAAGGACGGGGACAGAGGTCGGAGAACGCCGCCTGACCACCCACGCTCATTTTGGGCCATACCGACCTTGGGCCTGTGACCGATGTATACGCACGCCTTCTGGGCTAGGCCCAACGAGCGCCACCACCAGTCCTGGTCCAAGGGGCGCCTTGGGCAGCATCGGTGCAGGAGGATGATTGGAGTCCTCCCCGGAAGGGTACACAAGGGTGTGTGGGGGAATCGGGAAGAGGACCCCTCCTCCCGCTTCGCCTCCATCCTGTTCCTCCGTCCTTATCCACCCGTTTCTGTTCCACTCCTCCTCCTCCTCCTCCTCCTCCTCCTCCTCCTCCTCCTCCTCCTCCTCCTCCTCCCCCTCCCCCTCCCTCCTCCTCCTCCTCCTCCTCCTCCTCCTCCTCCTCCCTCCTCCTCCTCTGCTCCTCTGCTCCTCTGCTCCTCTCCATCTCCTCTGCTCCTCTCCCATCTCCTCCTCCTCTGCTCCTCTGCTCCTCTCCCATCCTCCTCCTTCTGCTCCTCCTCCTCCTTCTCCTCTTCCTCATTATTTCTCCTCCACCTCCTCCTCCTCCTCCCTCCTCCCCCCCCCCGTCGCCCCTGCCCGCCTCGGCGTCGTGGAAGAGGGACGCCGCGGGCCTCGGGCCCCCAGGGGGGGCAATAGAGGCGTGGCGGCCGAGGCCGCGCGGCCGGGCGCGGCCCCCCCGACCGTTCCCAGCACCCGCTGGGGGAGCGGGGAGGGGACGGGAGCTGACGGGGGATACGTCGACTCCTCCCCTCCCCATCTCCCCTCGTCTCTCCCTCCTCATGCCCTCTCCCTCCCCCCCTCCCGCTCTCCCTCATCCTCTCCCTCCCCTCTCCCCTTCTCTCTCTCTCTCTCCGTCTCCTCCTCCCTCTCTCGTCTCCTCCTCCCTCTCTCTCTCTCTCTTTCTCTCTCTCTCTCTCTCTCTCTCTCTCTCTCCCCCTCACATCCTGTCTCCCTCATCCTCTCCATCCTCTCTCCCCTTCTCTCTCTCTCTCTCCCCTTCTCTCTCTCTCTCGCCCTCCTCTCCCTCATCCAACATTGAAGCTGCAACTGGTGCAGGGAGCAGCACACTTCGGCCCACAGACTGGTGGCCCCACACGGTGGCCGGCGGACCTCCGCGCCGCACAGTCGCTTCCAGATGCCCCCCAGAGCGTGGGAGGGGCCCAAACAGGCGCCGAGAGCGGCGAACACGACGCTCCGCCTCCGAGGACGGCGGAGCTCTGGGCCTCCGGTCGGGCCCCCTCCCCCGAGTCCGAGGTGCAGCGAAGCATGATGAGGAGGAGGAGGAGGAGGAGGAGGAGGAGGAGGAAGAGGAGGAGGAGGAGGAGGATGAAGGAGGAGGAGGAGGAGGATGAAGGAGGAGGAGGAGGAGGAGGAGGCCATGAGGACGACTCGTCGTAGGACTTCCCACGATTCTCCTGGCTCTTTGTTCGAGCGGGGTCCCACGGCCGCGCCCCCCGAGAGGTGGCCTCGAGGAGCGGAGAGAGGGAGGCGGACGACGGGCGGGGCGAGGGGAAGAGAGCGTCCTGCCTCCTATCGGGGCTGGGCCGGCCCTGGTAGGAAGCAGAACGGTTAGGTGCAGCACGGCGAGGGGGGACGTTCAGGCCCAGCCCTGATGGCAGCATGCTGCATATCAGGGCTGGACCTAAACGTTGTTTTTCGTTTTGTTGCCGCTCTGTTGATCGTCTCGCTCTGCCGTTTCTCCTGCACCTCCCTCCCAGAACGAGAAACAAGACACAGCCGAAGTCCAGCGAAACAGCGTTTCGGTCCAGCCCTGCTTCCAACTGTAAATTGTTAAAGCCCGCGCGAAGGGGGGAAGCCCCAAACCGGCCAGCTACCACCCCCGGGTCACGTGCTCTGAACTCAGGGGGGGGCGGGGCGTGGGACACGTAAGAATACATGAGACTCACGCCCCCGAGGCCATACCCCCTCGCAAACTACGCAATACTAGCGCCCCCGATGCCATTAACCATGGCAAAGTACGTCAGATTCGCATTGCCGAAGCCAAAGGTGCTCCAAGGCGCCCGAAGATGGTTCCAGGACGGCCCACGAATGCCCGAAGAAGCCCCCAAAGCGCTCCAGGAGGCCTCCCGTGAGAGCCCCACGAGGCTTATGTTGTTCCCATCGTGCTTAACGACCAAATATCAGGAATCATTCCGAGCACCCAAAAAATATCGAAACAATGTCGAACGAGTATCGCCTGCCAGGGCCGGACACGTGAAAACCCTACAGTTTCGGCACTTTCTTGGAGCTCGAATCCCACCAGCCCTCTGGGCGTCGGTGGTTTAGGGAGTTTCCGCTTCCACCCCTCCTTCTTCCCCTTCGGGGAAGGGTTTACCCCTCCCCCTCCCCCCTCCCCATGGACCTGGACAAAGGGTTTCGCGAGTCGTCGGAGCGTCCAAAACGGCCTCGGCGAGGAAGCCAAACTCATTTGTTCTACTATGGACATTGGCCCCATGTTGGCCTCCTGGGGGGGGGGGCGCTAATTAATGCTCTCCTCCAAGATGGCCCCAAGAAGCGTCCAGGAGGCCCCAATAGGTCCCAAGATGGCCTCAAGATGGCCCCAAGATGGCCCCAAGAGGCCCGCAGGAGGCGCCCCAGGGGCTCCCAAGAGCCCCCCAAGAGGCCCCACGAGACCCCCCAGAGGCACCCAAGATGCACCAAGAGGCCTCGGCGAAAATGCCAAGTCAATGACTTCACGCCGGTTTTAGCCACATGTTGGCCTCTTGGGGGGGCACTGATTAAGATGACTCCAAGAGCGCCTGGGAGAGCCCAAAACGACCTCCAAGATGGCTCAAGATATCCCAAGATGTCTTATAATGGCTTCCTCGGTGTGCTGCCCACTTCCCTGATCGAGGCAATTCCTCTGGGCATCGCTTCTGGATGGGCTGGTGGGGATTCGCGAAGCGTCAATAATTTCTTTCTGGTGACCAAGGCTAAAGTCGATTGAAACATCATAACACGACGCCAAAATCGTAGATGGCACGAAAGTTTGAAGGATGTTGGCCTTCTCGCATGTTCGGTTCTCCGACGCTCCAAGGCGGCTCAAGGAGCTCCCACGACCGCCGAACACACAGACCAGGAGGCCTCCAAGAGGGCCCCCAGACAGCCCAAGAAGGTTCCAATAGGGCTCGAGAAGCGCTCAAACGAATCCAAAAGGGCCCCCAAACGGCCCCAAGTAGGGGCCCAAGCAAGGGATCACGAACCGAGAATTCAATATTTGTGCCCGGCCCCGAGAAGTTCCCAGGAGGCTCCAAGAGGTCGCCGAGAGGCCCAAGAGGGCCCAAGAGGCGCTCGAGCGGCCTCCAAGAGGCCCAACAGATACCCCACGAGGCCCCGAAATGCCCCCCACGACACCCCGACACATATACAAGAGGCCTCATACCCACATCCCACGCACGGTGGCGGGATGGGCCGAAGGCCAGTAGGATCCGCCGCCCCCTGTGGTCTTGCCACAGGGGTGGACGGCGTGCTGGACGATTCAGGTTTTGGTTTTGGTTCTTTTTCTAAAAGAACTCCCCAGTGGGCTTCGGCCCGTCCCGCCGGCCACCCGTAAGTTTCCGAAAATCCATCTGTCAATGCCTTTGTTGCCCCAACTTGGCCCAAGATGGCCTCCAAGACGGCCAAGATGGCCCAAGATGGCCTCCAAGATGCCTCCAAGACGGCCAAGATGGCCTCCAAGACGGGTAAGATGGCTCCAAGATGCCTCCAAGACGGCCCAAGATGCCCTCCAAGACGGCCAAGATGGCCCCAAGATGCCTCCAAGATGGCCCAAGAGGCCTCCAAGACGTTCTCCAGGAGAGCCCGAAGAGGCCAAAATCATTGGTTTTCCTTAGGTTTTTGAAGGTTTTTTGCGTTTTCTTCTTTTCGGCCTTCCGACGGCCCAAGAGGCCCCCAAGATCGCCCAAGAGGCCTCCAAGAAGGCCCTATGACGGCCCAAGGGCCCCCCAAGACGGCCCCAAGAGCGCCCCAAGACGGCCCAAGAGGCCTCCAAGACGCCCAACATGGCCTCCAAGACGGCCCTGAAGCGCCCCAAGAGGGCCCCAAGACGGCCCAGAGAGGCCCCCAAGACGGCTCCAGACGGCGTCAGACGGACCAGGAACGCCCTAAGACGGCCAAAGAGACCCCCAGGAAGCCCCCAAAGGCCCCCAAGAGGCCCAAGGAGGCCCCCAAGATGCCTCCAAGAGGCCTCGAAGAGGCCCCCAAGAAGCCCCCAACAGACCCCAAGGGTGCCCCAAGAGACTCCTAACAACCCTCATCCTCCTACTCTATTTCTTCCTCTTCCTCTTCCTGTTCATAATCATTCTCTCCCATGTGTTCCCCGAAAGCTTTCCAAACCGACTCGGGGAACTCATGGTCCGATAGCTTGGCCAAGCTCTAATCCAACTTTCGGCCACATCGGCGTCTCCAAAAAGGCAGGGGGCGGCGGTGATTCGCCGTAGGCGTCTTCGATCCGCCGCCCCCTGTCGATCCATCGCAGGGGTGCCTGGCGTGCCGAGCCATTTTGATTTTGGTGTTGGTTCTTTTTCCAAAAGACCCCCCCCCCTGGGGCTTCGGCCCGTCCCGCCGGCCACCCTGAAGGATGCCGAACATTTGCCCGGACCCGGTTGCAAAGGGTTTTTCCGTTCCAGACGGTCCCCAAGATCGTCCAAGATGGCCTCCAAGACGCCTCCAAGAGGGCCAAGATGGCCGCCAAGATGGCTAAGATGGCCCCAAGATGCCTCCAAGACGGCCTAAGGTGCACCCAAGACGCTCTAAGATGGCCTCAAGATGGCCCAAAACGGCCCAAGAGGCTCCCAAGAGGCCTCCAAGACAGCCCAAGAGGCCTCCAAGAGGTCCTTCAGGAATCCTTGATTATCCTTAGGTGTTTGAAGGATTTTGGCATTTGCGCCTTTTCAGCTTTCGGACGGCCCAAGACGGCCCAAGAAGCCCCCAAGATCGCCCGAAGATCGCCCAAGAGGCCTCCAAGATGGCCCAGTGACGGCCCAAGAGGCCCCCAAGACGGCCCCAAGAGGGCCCCAAGACGGGCCAAGAGGTATCCAAGACGCCCAAGATGGCCTCTAAGACGGCCCCGAAGCGCCCCAAGAGGGCCCCAAGTCGGCCCAGAGAGGCACCCAAGACGGCTCCCGACGGCGTCAGACGTGCCAGGAGCCCACCAAGACGGCCGAAGATGGCCTTAAGATTGCCCAAGACGGCCCAAGAGGCCTCCAAGAGGGCCTCCAGGAAGGCCCGAGAAGGCCAAAATCAGTGATTTCCCAGGAGTTTTGGAAGGATTGTGACATTTGCTTCTTTTCGGCCTTCCGACGGCCCAAGACGACCCAAGTGCCCCCAAAGATCGCCCAAGACGGCCCCAAGAGGCCCCCAAGACGGCCCACGAGGCCCCAAAACGCTCAAGATGGCCTCCAAGACGGCCCAAGAGCCCTCCAAGACGTCCTCCAAGAAGGCCCGAAAGGGTCAGAATGGCCTGCAGACGGCCAAGATGACCTTCAAGATGCCCACGTATTCCCCGAAGGCTTTCCAAACCGATTCGGGGAACAGATGGTCCGATAGCTTGGCAGGTCTGGCCTCAACGTTCGGCCACATAGGCGCTTCCACAAAGGCAGGGGGCGGCGGT